GGATCTGCAGAAGCCCGGCGCCACCCCCTCCCCCATCTAGCTCACCTGGCCAGTGAAGTTAAGGGGAGCAACTAATTGGTAACAACAAGACGGAGTGTGTTTGTGTGTGTGTGTGAGTGTAAGTGTAATATATTATGTGCATATAATACAGTGTTAATGAATACATGTATTACTAATAAATGTGGCGTTTTGTCTTATTCCCCCTGAAAAGATCCTGTGCAGTACTTTAAGTACAACAAGAGGCGAGCGGGAGCCAGGACTCCTGGGTTCTTACCCCAGCCCTGGGAGGGGAGCAGGGTCTAGTGCAGCGGTTCTCAAACTTTTGTCCTGGTGACCCCTTTCAAATAGCAAGCATCAGAGTGCGACCCCCCCTTATACATTAAAAACACTTTTGTATCTATTTAACACCATTATAAATGCTGGAGGCAAAGTGGGGTTTGGGGTGGAGGTTGACAGCTCACGACCCCCCATGTAATAACCTCGCGACCCCCTGAGGGGTCCTGACTCCCAGTTTGAGAACCCCTGGTCTAGTGGTTAGAGTGGGGGGGAGGAGCCAGGACTCCTGGGTTCCGTTCCCAGCTCCAGGGAAAGACTGGGATCTAGTGTGTGTGTGGGGGAGTTAGGATTCTGCACAGACTCTCTTTCCCCCAAGGCCTCCAAGCAGGCGTTCCATCGCTGGGAACAGCTACTGCGCCTTGCCAGCCCGGCCGGGATGCCAGCTGCTGTAGGAAGTCTCTGCATGCCCAGCCGGGATCATGCCAGTCCCCCGCTCTTCCGCCTCCCCAGCAGCTTCTTGACCCACCTGCCTCCTCCCGGGGACCCCTGCAGGGCAGGTACCTGGGACCTGGAATCACTCGAATGATCCCAGCTGCAGCCTCCCCTCCCTGAGCTGGGATAGAACCCAGGAGTCCTGGCTCCCAGCCCCCTGCCCTAACTCCTAGACCTCACTCCCCTCCCTGATCCGGGGATAGAACCCAGGAGTCCTGGCTCCCAGACCCCTGCTCTAACTCCTAGGCCTTGCTCCCCTCCCTGAGCCGGGGAGAGAACCCAGGAGTCCTGGCTCCCAGCCCCCTGCTCTAACCACTAGACCTCACTCCCCTCCCTGATCCGGGGATAGAACCCAGGAGTCCTGGCTCCCAGCCCCCCTGCTCTAACCACTAGACCCCACTCCCCTCCTTGGATGGAAGGAGTCGGCCTCTTTCACCTTCCTGCGGGCGGCCGATACCTGATCTGCCATTACCTCTGGCCGCCCGTGCGCAGCCTGCTTGGGAATTGGTACGGTTCCAAACCAGGGCCCCCTCTCCCCCCACACCACGGGAGGGAAACCGAGTCCCTCCCAGAGCTCAGTTCCAGCCCTGTGGCCCTGAGCCAGCTGACACCCCCACTGCCCTCCTCCCCGGGGGGCACCAACAAGCAGGTTCCACTGTCTGGCCGGAGGGTGGGGACAACAAAGGGAGCAGCCAGAGAAGGGGCTGGGCTGGGGCATCGGCCCCGCTCCCTCCCCCTGGGTGTCTTGAGGCGTCCCCACCCAGGGGAGCACCTGAGAGGGACAAGGGCTGGGGTCGCTCTGGGGTCACCACTGGTGCCGGCTGGGCCTGGCCCGGAGAGCCCCCCCTGCTCCCCCAGGATGGCTGGTTGATTTTGTCTCCATCACAGGGCAGATGCAATCTGGGGGTGTGGGGGGGGAGATAATGGGGGATCCCAGGCCAATGTCCTGGGAGGGGCCTCGGCTGCCCAGGACTGATCCCCCTCGTCCCAGTGTCTGGCTCTGACAGTTGGCACGAGCAAGCAGCTGTGTGTGTGGGGGGGTGTCTCCATCTCTACAGCCTGGGGTGTCTCCCCCACCTGGGATCTCTCAGCACAGACCGCCGGCTGCCTGGGCCCCGGCGGCTTTATAAAGCAAACCATGCCTTATATAGAGCCGCCCGCTCCTGGGCCCAGCTCTGCAGAATCCCCAAAGCCAACCATATATGGCCAGCCGGCGCCGGGCACAGAGCGGGCTGGCCAGAAAGGTAGCTGAAGAATTCAAAGCAGGGAGAGCCCTAGACAAGGACTGGGGGTTCTGGCTGGCTTGTAATCACTGACCAGGGACACTGGGGGGGCTAGCCCTGCCCCCCTGCTTTGGATCTGGGGGGAGCAGAGCATCAAAGCAGGGTGAACCCCCCCCGGACACGTGGGGGTCACAGATCAGCAGTAGCGGTTAGCAGTGAATCCGACCAGTGGGATGGAAGGAGGTGTGCGTATTTAACCCTTGCTGGGTCCCGGCTGTGAGCCCCCAGAGCACCCAAAGGAGCCCAGCACTGGAGCGGTTTTTCCTCCTGGCGATGCGTCTGCGTCCCCTGGGGGCACGAGGGATGCAGAGATCTGGGGATGGGGCGGGGGGAGCCCTGCTTCGGCTCACGGGTGGAGGAGCCAAGCGGCAGGAAACCAGGAGGTGACCCCGAAACCCGGGTCCGGGGAGCCCCTCGGGAGTAGGGCCAGTGCCTGAGAGCAGGGAGCCCGGGTCCCCCAGCATTGTTACAGAATGTTGCCCCCTTCTCAGGGGAGGCCCCCCTAGTGGGGGAGGGGTGCAGATCCATGTTAATTTTGGGGGAGCCCGCTGCCGTTCAGAGATTGGGGGGGGCTCCTTTCACTCCAAGGCTGTGCTGAATGGAAGAGTCCCCCGGTGCTACCTCTGCCACCTGGGGTTTTCTGTGGGGACCTGGGGCTTGACTTTCCCTCCCCGTGGTTGTTGGCTGCTCCCCACCCCAGAGGTGGCTGCGTTTTGGTGGGGCTGTGTGTGTAGGAGGCCCCCAAAGTGCACTGGGCTCCTTCGGGGTGAAGCGCTCTCCGGGAATGTATAATACTGGGGAGCAGTGACAGTTTGGGGGTGACGTCCCAGGTCCCCTCGCCCGGCTCCCCAGTGACATCGAAGCAAAGGGAGAGGAGCCCCCACCACTCCCTCTTGGTTGCAGTAGAAAACAACACATGCTCTATGCTAGCTAGGCCTCGTGTCCTACGCCCCTCATCCTGGTATCTGGGCAGCCCTCAGCCCCCCCGTGCTTTCATGACCTGATCTGGGGACCCTACTGGATTAGGGGCACGCCCAGCACTTCAGCACCAAAGCCATTACCCCCATTTTACAGACAGGGAAACTGAGGCACAGAGCGGCAACGGCCATAGAGGGGAGTCAGTGTGAGATCTGGGACTAGAACCCAGGAGTCCTGACTCGCAGCCCCCGGCTCTAACCGCTAGACCCCACTCCCTGAGCCGTAGCAGCACTTCGCTGTATCAGTATCATGTCTCATACCAGCTACGTCCTGGCTGCGTCCTGTCTGGAGCGGCAGGGGTGGGGTGGGGGGTACATGTTCCTGAGCGAGGGGCTGGGGGGGGGGGAGATATTCCCAGCCCCTCACTCAGGAACATGCTGGGGGATGCTTTAATCATCTTCCCTGGCTATCACCTAGCACTTTCCACTGTAGCCCTCACTGTGTTTGCCAAGGAGCGCACGAGCATTGTCCCCATTGTACAGGTGGGGAAACTGAGGCATGGGGGCAAAGTGACTTGCCCAAGGTCTCCCAGCAGGCCAGTGGCAGAGCCGAGAATAGGCCCCAGGCCACTGCTGTGTGCCGGCCAGCAGGGGCCTGTCTGGTCAGTGGGGGTGGGGGTCTCACGTCTCAGCCCTGCAAGGGAGGATCGTCTCCAGGTCTGGCTAGCCCTGGCAGTGGCACTGTAGCCCTGATCTCTGCCACCCCCACCCACCCCTCCCCAGTTCAGTCCTTTGCTGGGCTTCCACACCTGTCCTGCCACCCTGTCATCATTCATGTTTATTAGGTGTATTACGGTAGCACCCAGGAACCCCCATCATGGCCCGGGACCCCACTGTGCAAGGCGCTGTACAAACACACCCTCCTGGTTCCTTCTGGGCCCTTTCCCTGCCTCCCCTCCGCCCTGCTGTTTTAGAGACTCTTTTACAATAGGACGTCCTCTCCCAGCCCGTGGGCGGCACACCCAACACCCTCTCCCCTTCCCTGCCCATCTGTAACCCTTTAGGCCACGTTCCCTGGGCTAAGCCCCTGTTCTGCCCAGCTGCTGAAGGCCACTTTGTTTGCTTTGGGGGGGCTTGGTGAGGGGTGCTCCTTAAATCTCCCCATCCCTGCCCCCTGGGTCATACTAATGGACCCATCCACCACCAGTCCTTCCCAAGGTGTTCCACCATCGCAAAACCCCTTGCTCTGCGACCCTCTCCCACGGAGAACCAACTCCTTCCTGACCCCCAGCCAATGGCCAGCGTCTGCCCTGAAGCCTGAGGATGGCTCGTCCTTGGGAGCCGCCGGGCCCATCCTCCAAGGTAGTATCGACCCACAAAGCGTGGTCCCACATCCCGAGCTGCCACTGGCGCCGATCCTGAGCCACCCTGGTGTTTTGGGGGGCGATCCCCCCCCCTTACCTTGTTCTTGACCTCCGCTGACAGCCCGTAGGCCGGTCCCCGGTTGAAGTGTGCGGCGGACATCCTGCCTGCGTCGCCTCCGGCCTCGCTGGAGATGGGAGCCCTGCTCGGTGCCCTCTGCGCCTCTGCCTCTTCCTCGCTTTCCCTGCAACTTTTTAAAAGTCTTTGCTCTCCGGCTCTTCCCCCTCCGCATGTCCGAGGGGGAGCCCTTCCCATTGGCCGGCCAGCCCGGCCAATCGCTGCCCGCTGGGGACCCTGATGTCAGCCTGTTGGTATTAAGAAGTGATGGAGTCATTTTTTCCACCTTGGGGGCAACTGGGGCGGACGCTGCAAATATTTCGAGAACGCTGCGATTTATCAAGGGCGGACGGATTGCCAGAGGGCTGCAGCGTTACGCTCGCCCCGCTCCAGCTCTCCGCCACTTCCACACGCGTCTCTCCCCAGCCCTCTTCCTCCCCGCCACCTCCACGGCGCTCTCGGTCCTCTTGCCTCCTTAGGTTGTATTGGTCTCTCGCGCGGCAGCGTCTCAGGCCAAACCCCTGGGCCCTCCTCTTTCACTGCATGCTGTGCCCCCCCTTTTCACATTTTGCAACCCAAAAGGAAAGTATAGGGGAAAACCTTTCCCGGAACCCCAACATTTTCCAAATGGAGCCGGTGGGGGTACGGTCCTTCCCGGCCAGTTCTTCTGGCCTTCTCGTCGGCTCTTGCTTTTGGACTCTCACTTTGCTTTGGCAGACGTTCCTCTGGATTTAAGATTTTCTTCCCCCATCAGGAATTTTTATAAACGATCCGAGTATGATTTCAAAACCCCGTCCGCTCCTTTGAAACAGCTGTGGAATAGATCAAACTCCAGATCCTCCCAGAGGCCACATGTGCAGATACTTCTCTGAGCAGAGAAGGGCATTGAAAATCCAGGCAGCCCCCAGTGGGATGAAGTTGGTTGCTAATTGTTAGTATTTATTAACTATTAATAATAATGAGGCTGCCTGGCTGGCACCTAAGCGGTTGTAGTTAACAGATGAACAGGTAGATGGGCATGAAGGAAGGATGAAGTCAATTTCCTGCTCTGACACAGACTTCCTGTAGGATCTTGGGCAAGTCACTTAGCCGCTCTGTGCCCGAGTTTCCCCATTCGTGCTGGAATAATTGCCCTGCCTCACAGGGGCGCTGTGAGGAGAAATACATTAAAGATTGTCAGGTGCCCAGATACTACAAAAGATCCTTTGGAAATGCCAGCCTAACGTAGAGCCCTGGCGTTTGATAAAATCATGTAGAGTTACTCCGGATTTACGCCAGCATCGCTGAGATCAGAATCAATCCCTCTCACTCCCAGCTCCATCAGGGCTACCAACCCAAACGCGCCCTCATAAATATCAGATGATGTCACAAAAAACAACCTGACAGCTGCTGACAGCTGCGTCCGGCTGGGCCAAGTTCAAATTTGCTGATAAGATAGGGGGTAGGGGACCACACATGCACACGCAGACACAGACACACGTGCTGCAGTACAGATCCATGCGCACACATGTGCTGTCTGTACAGATCCATGGACACACACACACTCACACGTATTGTCTGTACAGATCTATGCATGCTCACACACACACACACACACACACACACACACACACGTGCTGTCAGTACAGAGCTGTGCGCACATACGCACAC